CTCCGGTTTCCTCCCACAGACCAAAACCATGCATATTGGGTTAATTGGTAACTCTAAATTGTCCATAAGTGAGAGAGTGAATGGTCGTTTGTCTCTATTGTCTCTATGTGATGGACTTGCAACCTGTCCAGGATGTCCCCCGCCCCTCATACTGTGACTACCGGATAAGGGCACCAGTGACCCTAATAGGAATAAGTGGGTAAAATAATGGATATCTTGTCTAATATTAATGTTTTACAGCACAAATTGCCCCTCAGGGGATAATAAAATGTCTCGAACTTAAACACGCACAGGAACAAAATGGAAACTTCACCCAGAGAGACCTCAGACCAGGAGACAATCCTCCAACGTTCCAGTTGACGCTTGAATCACTGTTCGTTCCACCAAGCTACCTCAGGTAGCATTTTAATTAATAAAATTTTTTACACAACCTCAGTTTTAGCATTTTGAACAAACATTCGACTTAGAATACATGTCTTATGTTTGTTACACTTTCATCTGGTCTGCTAAATTTAAAAAAATTGTAAAGTGCCAGAGCAAATGTTCGTCACTTCCTATTGTGTGTAAAATTCTGATCATATTTAGAGCAGATTTGTCATGGCAAAGCTTTAAGGCAAAAAAAAAAAAAAGTAATTTGAGTTTTTCAGTAATCTTTGATTTTAATGAGTTACATAGATCCAAAGAGGACTGATCAAACTGCAGCCAAGAAAATATGGTAAATATATCCCATAAATCAGAGTCTGATTAAATACACTTTTTTATCATCTCTTATTTTTAAAGTCAAATGGCTGTAGCTGCATATTTGTTTTTTAGTGATGATTTAAATTAAAATGTATGCTAAGAAAAAAATATGTTGATAGAAAAGGAAGACAAAAGAAATTAATGTCTATTTTACATTGAAATTTATTGGGGTTTGCTTATATACTGATTTTAATTACACTACACACTGTAATAGCTGTTAAATGTGATTATTTTTGCTTAAATTGATGATTTTATGTAGATACATGCCTGAACACAGATTTAACACATAATTGAACCGTTAATCTTCATTAGGTCAGATTATATTGTTTGCATACATGGCTCGAGCAATGTGAGGGACCCTTTCCTGATGACGTAATAAAATAGGCAGAGTCATGTCCTGAAGATCCTGATACTGAACTGACTTCCGGAAATATGGGGTCTGAACGTGGACCAATAAACTGCCTCCAGACCAAGCTGCTCTCTATGTGGGTTATACGAACTCTTTCACATTCGATTTCCATGCACTGGTACATTTCCAGTGTGGTTCAAGCACATGAAAATGGAACATGCTGAACAATATGTTCTTAGATTTAGAACAATATGTTCTATGATTTAGTATAATAGTTTTAGGAAAAGTCATTCATATTGCTACATAAATATTTTGAGATATTACATCTAAAAACCAAGGTCAGTTTTGACAAAGATTGGACCAAGTTTTTAATTGTCATTCCTAATTCTTTCCAAAAGAAAGAATTTGTATTTCCACAAACTTTACACGTCTTCCACAAAGTACACATTAAAATAAAGGTATTTTTGTTTTCTTTTACCCAATGTGTTCCTCACTTTTATAGGACTTACAGTTCCCTCTCATTTCCCTTCAGAGCACATTTAAGCTCTCATTGATTTCCACTATGACTGAGCTCAGTATTTGCTCTTGAAAACTGGAATTCAACTGACGTTTAATTTGTAATATCTCCTACATAACGAACTGTTGACACATAAATATTAGTGTGACAACCAGATGCTTCTACCAGTTCCAATTCAATAAAAAATATTTTAAGTTTCTACCATATGACAGTTTGAGGCTTATTTTCTACTCTAGTTAATGATTATTGTTTTTATTAGACAATATAAGCTCCTCTGAAGTGGGCCACTTTTAGTTCTATTGATGACACGTGCCTAATGGACGCAGATGGCTCTTGGATAATATTCAGTTATATCACCAGTAAATGTTGAGGGTCGGATGAGAACCCAGTGACGGTTTATGTAAGGCCTGACACCACAGCATCGTCACACAGATGGAGAGTCAGCGCTGAGAGAAAGAGAGAGGGGGAGGGAGAGAGAGGGGAAATGACAGGCATATGGATGAAAAATGGGCTTTTAAAGCAGTGATTCCCCGCTGGACGGAGAACAGGAAGGCTCAGTTTAAATGAATGCAGCCTGGAGTTCATGTAGACCTGCAGCCATTGTCATTGGAACAGCAGAGCTGCTGCAACGCTAAAAAAACAACAACCGAACAACCCAGATCTGACAGGATTATAAAATCCAGACAGTCTAAATCACTGAGGACAACTGTACGGTACCTGCTGCCTGTGAGTCCCCATCTGCCTTTCTGCCCAGCATCACATGTTGAACATTTTTTTTAATTTCTCTTTCAGAATAAGCAGATGGGATTACAGCTACTGCGAGACCGCATCACAGAGCACAAACGGGGCTTTTCCGTGGCAGCAAGCCTTTGTTGTCGAATGCTGCTGATTTATGGAGGCGATAAAAGGAGAGCACAACACGACTGCAGAGAAGATACCGAGGGATGCGCTGCATGAAATGGCTGCCATAAATAAAGAAGGATAATATTTACTAGCACGACTTTGCCCTGAAGCTGGCAGAGGAGCCGAGCAGCCAAAATGCTGAATATATTGAGAGACATAAAATGTTACCAATAGGCTACATCCTACGAATAAAGGGGGCACTTATATTAGGGGCCCAAAGATACCAGTAGTCCCCGAAATTGATGATTAACTGACTAATTTGTTTAGGTACTACATGTATAAGTACGTCACTATAGCAAATTTTGCTGGATGATACATTGGCTTTTTCCAAATTCAGCGGCTGCATCCTCTGAAGGCTTGTCAGATGCTTACGTCGCTGCGCAGTACTGGAGGCTGTCCAAATTTGAGGACTCCTCCGATTCTACCAAGGACCCGGCCCATCTAGACCAGGTAGGCCGGGTCCTTTGAAGGATGCAGCCCCTGAATTTGGACACAGCCATTGTCTCAGAAATTATTGTGATGAATGATAATATCATTTAGAGATCATTTGAAACTAATATAATGATACCACCCCCCACACAAACTGACCTGGAGTGGAGATCGGAAAAACAACACCCAACAACAGCTGTTGAATCTGTACAATCGCTACCCACCTCCTCTAACCAAGCCGGCACAAGTATGTGTCTTCCTTTGGCTTCATAAAATAACAGTGGTCACCTGCGTACTGCTTATGATGTTTACAAAAGTTTTTGAAATTTACATAGCATAAAAAAAATCTCTCAGCGAACTCAAGGTTTGGTACGGTGTCCTGAGGGCGTTAACAGCTGAAAGAAGGTGTCAGAAAACCGAAGAGCTCCTCACCTAAACGCCTGTTGACAGGGCTCTCATGCTACAGAGGCTAGAGACCATGAGCCTGGCAAATACCTGATGCCAGAGTTCACTCCTCTCTATGCTGAGAAGTAGAAAAGAAGGATGTTTCTACAATCATGCTTGAGCTCATAGATTTTAACAAAAGGTCACGCTCACAGTTGTGAATACTGTCGATTAGCTGTGGCAGCCATCTTGAATTGGATTTACTCTAAAAGTAAATCAATCGTAGATTTACCTTTGACCATTTCTTTAAAAACGTTTCATTAAAACCTGTTCAGTGAGTAGTTCTGCTAACAGACAAACAGGATTGACCAATAGTTACTGAAACAGCAAGGATCTTGCTAAAATGAGCAGCATGTCTTATGTATGGCTCTCATCTACTACTGCATTAAATTTTAGCACAATGTGTTAAATTGACTGATTTATAGACATTGTTGTATTTTCTGAGGTAAGTTGGCTTTGGTGACCATCTTGGATTAAACTGGCTCCAAACCAGTAATCATTTATAATCCTCATAATCATCATACACACACGTGCAGTAATTGACATCATCCATTTTTTGGCATGTAACTCATTCCACAATTGTTTTGCTATTTCAAACATTCATATAAAACAAGCTAATTTTCACCATGGGTGCAATGGCTTTTGGTATTTCAGCAACTTAAACCTTTTCAGCTATTTAGGTTTTTTGGCCACTTTTGTCTCACTGAAAATGAATGGAACTGTCTTCAACATCCTTAAAACATTCAAGATGTTTATAAATCTTTCCTGTACTTTATGAATTTTATTCTGATCCTGTGTCATTGCACTAATTTTAGCCTTTTTTCTGCTATTTCAGCTGTTTTTGCCCCTTTATGCTTTTCTTTTACTAATGCCTGTGCTTCTTCTGCCTTTTCATAATAACTGAAGCTGTTTTCTGCATTTTAAGCTACTTTAGCTGATTTCAGCTCATTTCAGTTAACCTTTTGTAATTATTTCAGCCTCTTATAGCTTAATTCAGCAAACATGTTCTCTTTTGGCTTCTTTGTGCTAATTTCAGCTTTATCAGCTGCTTTTTCAGCTCATTTAAGTCTAACTATTTTGTCCAAAGTTGTAACTTTTTTTCTTTCCTCGTTTTTCCTCTTATGTGAGCTGTTTTACTGTCAGGATTTTTTAGCCTCTAAAATTTTTAATCTACCCCTGAATCTGAATAAACATAAAGGTGTTGAAATAATGATGGATAAAACACACTTGTGTGTGTCAGAAAAATCTTTCCACTGGTTGATTAATAAAGACAGATTATACTATTTTTTGGACTAAAACACTAATTTAATGTCAGGTTATGCTTTAGTAAACTATTTTTACGCACGGATTCCTGTAAGGATTGCTCACATTCACTGCGCATCATGACCAATAACTCAAGCACCACGGATGATTAACGCACCGGATGGCAGGTGATGTTCACCCACCAATCCCTGATCC